GCTTCACCCAATTACTTGTATCTGGCCCTCCTGTAATGGCGGTTGCACACCCCTGCTCTACTACGTTATACTGCCTGAAGCCAATTTCCAAAAGTAGACTGGGAAAACCTTAACGTGCGCCTCTATTTTAAAACCTGCTTTGACTTGTTGTTTGTTGAACGACCAAAATGTGATGATATTAAGTAACAGCTGAATCAACGTACTCAAGAGAATACCAAACCAATGTTATCTCAAATATAAAACCTCAAATGTCATGCCATCGTGTATTCGTCCTGAATTGGTCTCCTGTGTGTTGCTATCTTTTACGCAGAACTTTACGGGTTATCAGTTTCAAAAGAATATTAATTTTTCTTCTCAAATATCTCTCGATCATGGCAAGAGTAATTGATATAACGTGTGGTTTGTCATATGAACAACGTTGGAAAACTACTAATTAATATTATACCCTGAATCAATTTCTGTTATTATGTCACAAAACATCAAAGTGAGATTTAAAGATTTTAGAGTTCGCCCAGTGGATTGTTATCGTCAAACAACGGACTCATCTCAAACCAAATTCGTTAAATTTCAATTCATGATTTTGTTATCGTAGATTTATCAATTAGCATGAATTGAAAAACTGCAATTTGACGCATGTGGTATACTGTTATGGTTCCCATTGTTTCAGACATGAGTGGCCATAGTTTCTAACTCATTCTCTTTCTGTTAATGCTAAAGTTGATGACTGTGTGTTTTCTGTTTGATTTTTACAAACATCGTCTATTCTCCGAGTTCACGGCAAAACAACGCGGAAAACTAGAAGGTTGTTTACCGAACACCATTGTTCCGCGGAAAACTGGATGAAAATCACAAGGGTTCCATTACATTTGAACCCACGACAATTGCACCTGCATACTATTGCACCTATGGATTTTTTTTTTGTTTTACGGATATTTGAACTAATACTAACCCTAACCCATGGGTTTTAGCATCCGCACATAGATTGAACCCGCGGGTATACACATGGGTTCAAATCAGTGGTGAGCTGTAGCCGGAACGCACCGAAACAGCGTTCCGGTTGTTGGACATTTCATTAAATTTGCGTTCCTGTTGTTGAAATAAAATTTTGGACAAAAAGTCTAGTTTCTCTGGTAAATCTAGTCATCAACTTACATTTTGTTACATCATAATTCTTTTTACATCACATCACGCAAATAATTAGTACATGTGTAATAGAAGTTTCCCCGACCTTTGACCCGTGGAAATTCATCCTATACCTCTCTAAGAATACCATTTGTATTGAATTGTTATGAATACTCTTGCAATGTTACACAGACATATTTCAGTTAATTTCTTCATATTTCATTGCAGTTATTCGGCTCTATCCTAGGACAGACAAAAATTTGTGTAACGTCCGCGTCGTTTTGTAAATATATATATATATTACATTTTTGCGAATTAGGTGCGTTCCGGTTGTTAAGATTTTTCCAGCTCATCACTGGTTCAAATGTACGTCGGTTCAAATGCACGGTCACCCCCTAGAACAGGGGTGTGCAACCTTTTTCGCAGGCGGGCCAAATATCAATAACCTGGTTAAACCGCGGGTTGCACCTACATTTCACACAGGCTTTCTATTAGTTGCAGGCTTAAAATGGTGACTTTTTGTTATTGATCTCATGGTCCTTACAGAAATGATGAGTTAAAACGCATTAGGTTCTTAGAACTGTAATTTAAAGATATATATTGTTGCACCCAATTTAAACGACGATGCGACGCCCATTTTAGAACAAAAATATATTACCGAAAAGTGCCATATTTGAAGCCATAACTTTTTCAAATGTGGGAAGTAACTTGATTGAGAAGTTTTCAGTAAAATGCGCTAATTTTCATTTCCAAATAATTTGCTGTCAAATCTTATTCTAGATTCGATTTAGACAACATCAACTGATAGGCTGGAACCAAAACTCATTTAGCTATTTTATCTTTTAATATTAAAATTTTTCAAACTGCTATTCAGTTGCCTCCGCGGGCCGCACAATTTTCCCTTGCGGGCCGCATTTGGCCCGCGGGCCGCACTTTGCACACCCCTTCCCTAGAAAACTAGGTATGAAGTATATAATACTGCGATAGACCTACTGCGGTTAGCTCATTCGAAAGAGCGTCAGGAACACGCTTGCAATCACACTACTGATCGGTAAACTCAGAGATTTGATTAAACATATTTGTGTTAAAACAATTATTTCAAATCAATTTTTTTACTTGTTTTGTTTAAAAATGCTGTTATTTGTTTTGTATTAAAATATTAAAACAAGAAAACTGGATATCAAAACTTGCATAGTGGATTATTATCCCAATATACACTTCGCCACAGGTTTTAATGACGTAATCACAATGCGTCCATAAACGTGTTTGAGTTGGAGGAAACTTTAGCCGACAAAAGCCAATGCGCGAACCACGCCGAGAAGTCTAGCAATCCTTTCGTACATAGTCAAATCTCTTTTGGAATTGGACTTAGGTACCTAGCACCTAGTTTAGGTTGCCGCCTAGTAAAGTATATTATCCGCTAATGTATTATCGAATTGGTTTTACCAGTTCCCCGCTGTAAGAAGATTCCGGTCCATGTGTTTTTGGATTATGGTTGAGCAATGTTTCATGATTTCTCTTGCATTTTTTCTCAAGGCGTCCCTCTTATTCCACGCATGAACTTTGCTGTTTAAATTTTATTTATGACTTTGATGTAGATCGGGCCTGCCCAACTTGTTTAGTGTCGCAGGCCATGCATTTTCTCAAGAAGAAATTCATTGTGCGCCGCAAACGTTTTTAGCAAACTTAAATATTAGCTGATTCACGTGAAAATTGATATAAACATGAGAAGCAAGTTGAATTATATATTATCAATGAAATCATTAAATACTGCTTGCTGAGTAGGGCTGGACAAAATATTCGAATAGCGGCTTACTATTCGAATATCTGTAACACGTGACCTGGATTTCGCAAGTCGCTTGCGCGTCACAGAATCAGACGCTTGGATTACACAGTACACGGTGCACTTTCAGACCAGCACACGAAAATATGCACTGACTTTGTTCAACAAAGACGTCAAAATTGAATGTTATATTTGCGTTATAATATTATTTATTCACTTCCAGTGGCAATGATATTGTTTCAATATTTTAAAAAAACATAACGTGCGCAAATGACGCATGAGTTTCAACAACTTTTTAGTACAAAATAAAAAAAGACGACGAATTCCGGAGCCAGTAGCAAGAATTTACTTTTTATTTTACTTTAGAGCGATAGGGACGATCAAAGTTGACACAAAAGGTATAATAATGAGAATAAAATTTATTTGGATATTGGGTTGCGAATCATTTTTATAATTTTCTTCAGCGCCTCGCCGCCAACGATCACAACATAGCTTTAGAATTTGTCGAACAGACCGCGCAGTCGTGCTAGAAATAAAATAAAAAACTTCACGACAAATTAAAACAAAGGTTGATAGCGGGAGTGCTTGTTTTATTTTAGCCTGGTTCAAAACCAAATTTAAAATGTTATTTGGGCTGTGCCTCTGAATGCAGGAGTCACCAACTTCATACTGCAGGCAGCCTATTTCGTTATATTTTTCCGTGTTTAACCATTATTTTAATATGTTAATCCTTTAAGTTATGAGTCTGAGAAACATATACTGCAAGATTCCAATTTTCATAAGTAGACTGGGGAAATCTTAACGTGCGTCTCTATTTTAAACCCTGCTTTAACATGTTGTTTGCTGAACGACTAAAATGTGATGATATTAAGTAACAGCTGAATCAACGTACTCATAATACCAAACCAATGTTATATCGAATTATATCAAACCACAAATGTCATGTCATCGTGTATTCGTCTGTCTTGAATTGGTCTTCTGCGTGTTGCTATTTTTACGCAGAACTTGGCGGTGTGGCCTCATTATCATAACGGTTTATCAGTTTCTGAGGTATAATTAATTTTCTTTTCAAATATCTATCCCTCATGGCAAGAGTAATTGATATAACGTGCGGTATGTCCATGAACACCATTGGCAAACTACTAACAAATAATATACGATAAATAAATTTTCATGATTATGTCATTAAACATCAAAGTGAGAATCAGATATTCTAAAAAATTCGCGCAGTGGATTGTTATTGTTATCATCATTATATTGACTCATCTTAAATCCAAATTTGTTAAATTTTGATTCCTACTTTGTTATCGTAGATTTATCAACCAGCATAAATTGAAAACTGAAATGGGACGCATGTTGTGTATTGTGTCACAGCTCTCATTGTTTCAGCCATGAGTGACCATGGTTGCAAATTCATTACTATAATTTTCTCCCGCGTCTCGCCGCTGATGATCGCAAAAGAGCTTTATAATTTGTCGAGCAGGTCGCGCAAAAAATAAAAAATAAAATTTATCAATGTTCACCAGAGCGCAAGAATAATACATGCGTAATAAGCAAAATCGACAAATGGATGTAGATGGCTGAACAGTCACACTGAAAACACGAAACATACGTTTGTACAGGAGGTTCGTAACGATATGGAAAAAGTCCAGCCAGCCTGCATTTAACGTTAGTATGTATTGATCCAGACTTTCATGAGTTTTATTTCGTCAAAGAAAACATTATCTTTTCTCGTTGGTTAGTCAAATAAATTGATAAAGCATCCGTCAAAAATAAGGTTGACAAACAGTGGTCCGCGGTTTAAAAAATTTGGGGAAACTCTCAGCCTATATGAAATATATATACTAAATATTTAAAGTCTGCTTATAAATTATATAGTGAGACGCAGTAAACAGCTTATCGACACTGCGTAGATATTAACCTGGCGATAACGCAAAGCGATAAGAGCAAGCAGCAAAAATGTGATTTGTATGCTCAATGCAGATTCTAACTTTCTTAACCCCCAAATGCAGTTGCTCGCTACTTTAAGTCCAACATTAGCCATTGCATTTTTCATGAAGAATCTATTTATTTTTTGCATGTAACGTTTAAAGTTAACTTTATCAAAATTTTGATATATATGTAAATTATTATTTGCGCATCATCATTCGCGTAAAAGCCCGTTCTCGCAAAATTATTTCCATCTTGTCTGAAAACATCTTCTCTATACACCTGTGATAATTATACCATAAAACTAAACATTATATTTGCTGAGACCGATTCGATGAAGTTGAAATATCTGTTTCGAGATGTTTCAATCGCTAGTCATCGCTAGGCTAGTCACTTTTACGAAACATCATTTCAGTACCTCCAAGGGAGTGACCGGAGCCTTTCCAGTGATGCCAGTACAACCCAGCAGGACCGGCTCTACTATCGCCCTCTCCGTTGTAGTTTCCATTTAAATGAGAATGCATACAGCTTTTAAACCACCATCCACCTCTTGTGAAATCTGCGCAATGCAAACTCCATTTGTCGTTATCTTGATCTCGTGTTGAAAAAGGCATTCCATTATGGTACGCCATAGAATCTCCAGCAGACCCACTGTAACCTCCTACATTCATCGCGTAATTGGTAGATTTACCTCCGACAGAAAAAGTGCTGAAATATCACCATATGGATAGAAACGCTGCTTTAATCGAATGTAAATTTTGTTATTTTTTCAATATTGAATTCTCCATTATCTTTTAATTAATGCAACTTCTAATCGCTCAATCTAAAATTCGATTGCATTTTTCTCAATACACCCACATGCATTTATTATAAGACTCAATCTAAATGATCACCTGTATTTGGCGTATGCTGTGTTACCTTCTTTATCCAAAAGATCAATTCGCAATTCGTATTCTCCGTTAAGCGTCAATGCATGCAAAGCGTCTAGACCTGACAGATGGTATTTTAGAATTCTTAAAATAGGATGATCATTGAAGGCCGAAAATGACGCTCATGTTAGGCTAACGAGTAAATTACTTTACCTAACCAAAATTCTCCTGTTTTGTTTCCGAATCCTTTAGCGTAGTCATGCCATGTTCTGTAAAAATTTTCCGATCCATCTTGACGACGCTGAAACACCTGTAAAGTAAGTATAGACTTGCCTTAATAAAATTTATTACCCTTAAGCTGGACTGGTGGGCACATGATTGGAGTTCAAAATTTTATCACCGCAATGCCAAAACAGTCCCATTAAATCAATCAGTCTACAAATATCGTCATCGATATTAAAATACGGCGATATTTAAATACTCTTACGATCCATCCTCCATCATCCGTAGTAAGATCGCAATATACTTCGTAACGTTTGTTATTTCTGAAAATATCGTACACCCCTCCTTTTTCATCAGTTGATTTTGCGTATTCAGGCTTCACGGTTTGGCAATCTACGATTGTTGTTTGAATCATATCTGTATGGTTTATTTAGTATTGCATGTAAACATTTAAACATATCCTAAGGTAGGATGATTTTAAGAACGTCGAAAGTGGTTAAATTTTGTAAGTCTTACTTTTTTGAAGTTCTTCAATCAAAATCTGATTCCTCTTTGTTTGCTCAGCCATCTCGTCATACATCAATGATTTTTTATCAAACTCCAATTTAAGATCTTGAACGGTAAATAATGAAGCGTTAAAAATCGTCACTCGCTACATCTTTTGTGTTGAGATTATGTATCGTCAAAGTGAAATGAGACTCTCTTTTTAAATGATTTGTTTTATAGTTTAGGTTATGTGATAACCATAAGTGATCTACGTCAATTTATAATTCAGATGTACACAAGTCAAGTGAAGTGCGTTTATTAGTGGTATATTGCTTACGGTAACAATTAAAATATTAAAACTTTACCTTCAAACTTTTGTTCCATTTTAGCAAAAATCTTTGTGTAGTTTATCACTGCTGCTTCTCCCCGCCGTCCTGGCGGCCCAGGAGGCCCTGCTTTACCCACTCGAGCCCCGCTACGACTGCTCACAAAATCATCTTCAGGTATATTGTTGATTTTTTGACTCGTGCAATATTGATGCATCAAGTAAACCTGCGAGCATAACCCAAGATCTGCTTGTGATGATGAACGAGTAGGAGGGAGAAACACGACACAACTCAAGAACAGAACTAAAATTGCGTTACCAGGCTGCATCTCTGTTTGCTATTAAGTAACGTCGGTATTGTAAATATCGGAATCTGAGGTGAAAAATATTTTTAAACTGAGATATTGAATACATGTAGCCTGGATATAAATAGCATTCTATGAACTCAATTCTTCGAAAACCTACCCGAAGTATGCTATATAAGCAGTGGGCATTTTATTCAGCAGGCATAGTCAGTAATATTAAACAACTTTTGACACAACTGTCGTTGCTTCACGAGAAACAATCGCCCACGGCAAGTTGTATTTTTGTTTCAATACGTAACAAATTCAGATTACAAAACTTCCGAATTCATACCAAGGTTAGACAGCGGGCGTGATTTTAAGTTTTATGTCTGGCTTCACTGCAAAACGACGATATGATGTCATTCGTCCTGAAAAGCTTTTCGGAAAAAGTAGATTTGTGAAACGGACACTTGTTGTAATGATGTAGTTTTGAGTCCTCCATGCAGAATCTAAATTTTGCAGGCAACATTCAACTGAAAATCAATTTTTTCAGAAAACTCCATTTGAAAAACAAAATATGTAAATATCATTTTCGCATTCATGTAAATTGTAAACGATAAAAGGAGCCGCCACTTTTCCCCGTAAGAACTGATTAGAACCTGTATATGAACAAATTTAAACCAGAGACCTAAACTACTAAGCAATTTGAAATCAAGCGATAAACAGATCTGCAAACAGACCACCTGAAATATTTGTGAAAAGGGCGTTCATAATGATATATACGTGTAGAATTAAGAGGTTCTACAGGTCCTATTTCTGATTATTGGGCTGTCTTGTCAATCTACTTCCGTAGCTAACTCTCGACACAGCAGTAACGCACACATAAACACATCCAACTTGTATGAAAGAACTTGTAATGAAAGTATATTTACAGTATATACAAGTCACAGTCCAGTAAAATTCCACAATCAGGTTAAAAGTTCCACAGTAGATAGATAAATTTCCACAGCAAGTATAACGGCAGTGTAACACAGTGAATGTAAAAACTTGATGTCTGTATGTAGACTAAATGTATGGTGTGTATTGTATGTGTGGTTACAATATATTTGTGTCTCCAACCCAACAACAGTACTTAAATTTAGCTACAAGACACAAAAACGAGAAAATACGATTAGCCTCATATGCAACTCAATTAGAACCTAAATTACTTAATATTCCTAAACTACAAACTTCCCTAAATATCTTAGCAATTCTAAATTAGCATAATTAAAACCCTACAATTTGCAAATCAATGCCGCAAAGTAACCGCAGCACCTAACAGAGAAATTCATGTGACCGGGCCTCATTGCACTGTCTCCCACATTAATAAATAGGACATTTAGTATAATACAACAAGAATAACAAGGGCATGAATACAAATCAGCTGATATAAGAGAGTATTGCACCAGCATTGCCAAGACTTCAAACTTTCTCTCGGTCAGTGACGCTTAATATAAATAAACAAATAAATAAACGAGAGCAAGTCTGAACATGTTTATCGGGACCAGAATAACTAAAATTAATAGGTTAATTCACGAAAGTTAAATTTCTGCCTGTAACATTCCGGCCTCTAAATAACTCTGGGAACACAGAGTTAATTATAAATAATTTAAATTACAGGCAACAAGAAATTTCAACTTCAAAATTTAACATAATAAAACATGAAATGTTCACTAGTAATTGAAATTATTAAACAGCTTCAAGATGACACAATTTGCGAATATCACGAACATATGAAGACTTTGCAGTCCTGACTCGAACACGTCGAACCATACCAAATTGATCTGGATACGTTTCCTCGATGATTGCCATTGGCCACGAACCTCTCGGTGTATCTTCATAAACTACCAGAACCAAGTCTCCAACAGAAAAGTTCTTTGCTGGTTGATGCCACTTCTGCTTCGATTGAAGAATTTGCAGATATTCTTTTGTCCACCTTGACCAAAATTGATTTGCCAGTAACTGCACCAGTTTCCAAGACTTTCGATATCCATCTGCTTTAACAAAAACATCTGATGGATAATCAGGATCGATACGACCAGTTAATAGCATAGCTGGTGTTAATGCACAAAGATCTTTGCAATCGTCTCCAACAGGTGTAATTGGTCGATTGTTCAGAATTCTCTCCACTTTCGTCAAAAATGTGTAAAACATAGCATCGTCCAGTTGTCGGTCCCCTGCAAGTGCAGTCAAAATTTTTCTCACAGACCGAATCATTCTCTCCCAACACCCACCCCAGTGACTTGCAGCAGGAGGGTTAAATTTCCATTTGATTCCCTTTTGACTAAGGGTTTCATGCACAGACTGATTCCAACGTTTCATTCCTTCCTTTAACTCTTTATTCGCAGAAGTAAAATTTGACCCATTGTCAGAAATCAACTCCAATACAGGACCTCTTCTCGCTACAAATCTTTCCAGTGCGTTGATAAAGTCAGAGGTGTTCAAACTATTCACAACCTCAATATGAATTGCTCGACTTGCCATGCAAGAAAATATCACAGCCCATCGCTTTACATCACTTCGACCAGATTTGATGAGAAAATATCCCATAAGATCCACACCGGTCACACTAAATGGTGGGTTTCCTGGTTTAACTCTCAATTCAGGCAGTGGTGCCATGATTTGCGAACCTGGTTTAGCTCGCCTCTTCTTGCATTTCAAACATTGACGAAGGACACGTTTGACCGCTGAATGACCTTTGATGATCCAGAACCGCTGTCTAATAACAGATAAGACATGCAATGTTCCACTGTGTCCCTCCAGTAAATGATAATAATTGATGATGAGATCAGTCACATGATGATTGTATGGCAAGATGACTTGATGCTTGCTTTCATCAGGTAAAGTAGATCGCTGTAGTCTACCTCCAACACATATTAAGCCCCCAATCAAACAAGGTGATAGAGCTCGCAATGGTGAATTCTTGTCCATCTTGAACACATCTTCCGAAAACATTTCCATCTGCACAAGATATAATATGTCATGAGTCGCAGCATTTATTTCATCCACAGTTAAACCTTCCTTACAAAATTCAGGTTTATTAGCATGACCAAATTTCCATGATATACATTTCTTGAAACGTGTCAACCATGCAACTGACTTCTGTAATTTTCTCCAAGATGAATATCTCTTCAATAACGTGAAAAAGACTGGTGTTTTCTCAATTGTTTCCTGTGTTATAGCAAACATCTGGTGTGTTTTCTTGATTTCACAATTATCTTCACTCATTGGCAAAACTTTTGGTCTTTCTGGCCAATAATCTTCACTCTTTCTCAAAAATTCAGGACCCTGGAACCATAAATCACACTTGCTTAACTTCTCAGGCATGACTCCTCTTGATGCCAAGTCTGCTGGATTCTCCTTAGTGCCAACATATCTCCATTGCTTTGGTGTTGAATGCTCGTGTATTACAGAAAGTCTATTTCCAACAAATACTTTAAATCTTGTTTTGACATTATTGATGTATTGCAGCACTGATGTACTATCAGACCAAAATACGACTTCTTCAAATTTATATTTTGACTCTTTTTGAATCATTGCACTTAGTTTCACAGCAATGACAGCAGCAGACAACTCAAGTCTAGGAATTGAAATGGACTTCAGTGGTGCAACTCGCGATTTTCCAGCAATGAACTCACAATGTATATTGCCATCCTTGCTTTCAATTCGAACATAACTCACAACTCCCAGACCAACTTCAGAGGCGTCACAAAACGTATGCAACTGCATTGTACAGTCACCATATTTGGAGCCTTTGAACCATCTTGGCACAGAAACTTTTCTAAATTCAGGAAGTTGAACCATCCACTTTTTCCATAAATCAATAGCTTTATCAGGTAACTGTTGATCCCAGGTAAAATTCTCTGCACATAATTGTTGAAGTAATCTCTTCATAGGTAACAAAAAAGGACCCAAATACCAAGAGGATCAAAAATCTGTGCTTGCATCGCTAACAATCCACGTCTTGTATATGGTTTTTGCTCAATATTGGACTTCGAAACGAAATGCATCAGTAGAATACATCCCACAGTAAACCCAATGCCTTCTGTGACATATTTTCTTCAAAATTAAAACTTATTGTAGTAGGTGATCTATCTGCTTCAGAGATAGTTTCCAAAACTTCAGGTTGAGAACTCAAAAACTTAGTAAGATGAAATCCCGAATCATCAAGAAGAGAGGACAAATCCTTTATACGATGAACTGCATCTTCCACGGTTGGCTCTGACCGAAGCAAATCATCGACGTAAAAATTTTCATTAATTGCACTTAAAGTTTCCTTGTCCATGTGATCTCGATTGTCGACAGTAACTCTCCTCAGGGCATAACAGCATACACTAGGAGCCCAAGAGCCACCAAAAATGTGAACATTCCAACGATACTCTGCAACTGGTTGATTGTAATCTCCATCTTGCCACCAAAGGAACCGCAGAGAATCTCTGTCTTCCGGTGCAACCAACACTTGATGATACATTGCAGAAATATCACCAATGATCAGAACTTTCTCTTCGCGACATCTTGTGAGGACACCAAACAAACTGCTTGTTTCGGGTGGTCCGCTTAAAACATTGTCATTCAATGATATATCGTTACACTTGGCAGACGCGTCAAAAACAATTCGAAATTTTCCTCCAACCCCATGGTGAGGAATATACCATGTATTTTTCTTGTGTATCAAATCTTGGTCTTCAATTTTACTAGCATATCCTTTAGAGATGTATTCATCCATCTTGGCTTTATATTTTTCATAATATCCAGAATCTTTGACACAACGTCTCTGTAAATTCTCAAATCTTCGTTCAGCAACTTGCTTATTATCAGGCAACTCGATATCAGATGACCTCCATGGAATCTTGACTTGATATCTTCCATTCACTTTACAAATTGAATCATTCATGATCTTTAAAGCCTGTTTGTCTTCAATAGATGGTAAAGTGTCAAATCCACTGACATTAGAATCCTTAATTCATTCCGAAAAGCTTGCTCCATCTGAACATGGCAATTCTTCATTATCCAAATGAATCCAATCAAGATGTTTTACACTTGGTTGATGAAATTTGCCATCTGGCCCGAATAATGCCCATCCAAGACCAGTATGCACAGCAAATGGCTCTGAATTACTCCCACGTACGCATTCCATAACACGCATGAGCTTCAGGCACATCTACACCAATCAGGACTTCAACT